CTCATCATTGTACAAAATGAATCTCATTATTTTTGTTTGTAGGCATTTTGGCCAGTCGTCTGTGGCCAGATGTGACTGAGCAATAAAAATTTCTGTGCTCCCGTCATACATAACACCAAACCGTGTCAAATTCGGTGCTGTATCAGATTAGTGTCTTTCCAACTGTAGGAAACAGGGACGCATCCTGTAAAGTGCAATACATAGTGTGTGGAATTTGCAGTGTTCTGTTCGAAAGCACTTGTCCTTCTGCTCCTTACGTTGCTACTTCACCGTCTCAGTGATTTTACAGCATTGCTGGGAGCTGTGTACGTCTAAGAATTTTTCATCAAGAAGCGGTAGGGCTTCCAAAGCTAACATTGAAATAATGTTCGTAAGCCATCGGGATAAAGGAGGTCCACTACAGATAGTGAAGTGAGGGCAAGGCCCGGAGGTACTCTGTGTTCACGAACCTGTGAAATCTTTGGGCATTTATGGAACATTTCCATTGTGTGGATCCCCTTCGCCGCATTAAGGATTCTCCTGGCAAGTACGAGAACTCGGTTCGACTCGACTCGCAAGGGCAATATGCATTCGTTTTCATGCGATTTTGGGATTCGAGTTCGAGCTGCAGTGAACCGTAGTGCCAATGTTTTGTCTAGATTAGGTTCTGGATGCCGCGTTGGAGATTACTAGCTGAATTTTCATGCTGAGCGTAAAAAATTCGTATGGGCTTCCTCCGTCACAATGCGTCCCTGTTTCTAATTTCTGCTATTTTCCAGTCAATAATCCCATTCGCTCACCCCGTTACAACCCCTCTCCCCCTCCGAGAACCAATTCATTACCCTCTGCTTTCGTCCTCTCCCCTCCCTCTTTTTCTCCTCCCTCCCCCTCCGGCCTTATCCTGCAGTCATTGTAACTCTCCTCCCAACCCGGCTAGGTCGAGTCGAGCTAGGTTAGCTACCAATGCATCCTAATCTGTTAGTTTCATAAGGCAGGATTTGATTTTGATTGATCGGAAGTGCCTCACATGTTGCTTGTGGAACTGCTAAAACTCAGCTTGGCTCGGCCGCGCAATATGCACTCGTTTGCGGGCTTGCTTGCGAGCAGATAAACCCTCTCCTAGTTGTGTACTAGTGCTGGGTTCTTGGCGAGATTTT